GAGCCTTAGTTTCCAAGCCTACTTAGGGAGGCTTGAGCCCTGCCTTAAATCTCGAGCGGCTCGAGTCTATTTCCTATCAAGCCAAGCCAGCTCGAGCCAGTGGCAGGGCTCGACTCGAGTACGGTAGGCTCATGGGGAACACTAATCGAAATCCAAAAAAATTGGTACCCTGGTTCAACCTTTCCTTTGGCAGGTTGGCATTCTCTTCGGTGGAGCCTTCTTCGTTCGTACAACCCCACCCCCTAATGCCATTCTATTCAATCCTTACATAAATCAGGTTGGCGGTTCGTTTTTTAAGGAGTATCTCAAAGAAAAATTCTTTGGGCCGCAACAGGGAGATATGGGTCCTCCGGACCCGGAACCTACCCGTGGGCCGGCCGCTGCAGGGGGCAGGCCGCTGCCTAAATAACTCATGTAATTAGCATGATTTTAATAAAAGCTGATTTCAGCAAAAAAAGTAAACATTCTTTCTACGTGATATCTAGTAGTAAGAGCCCGTTTACCTACAAGATAGGCCATGTGAATTCGACCAGTACTCTGTCTGTACTGAGAGGGCTAGGCGGGGGCATGCTAGCTGATAATCACTACCCCTGCGGAGGGGAACAAGGCCTGTGACCGAGGCGAGATCCTCCAGCCTGTCCCTATGCTAATGCTCAACATTCAAAACTAGGCCACGAGTAACACATGCCCGGGAAATACCGGTGGCGCTAGGACGAAGTATTTGTGTTTGAATGGGTGTGGGAGAGGACTCGGTCGCCCTTGCTGAAGTTTGGGTTCCTGGACCCGACGACCGTGCCAGCGACACCCGAACTAAGGATTGCCGGGTACTGTGGTGGGATGAACCCGATGCGGGCTTGCTTTGCGTCGATAGGCTGAAGGGGGATGGCCTCGTTTTTGATGAGTACTTCATTGTCCTCGAGGGTTGGAATTTCAGTCTTCTCGACGGCGAGTGGAGCCTTCGCCGAAGGGATGTATGCCGCCTCCGACATGTCGCTGGAGTTGGTGTTCAAGTTGTCGTGGGCAGATTTGTAGTAGAGTGCGTAGGCGAGGACACATAGCGTGCAAATAGATATCAGGATCTTGCGGAATGGGTAGAGGGAGTCGTGGTGTTTCTTGTCGCTATGTGCTGCTCTGGAACTGGGGCTTCTCATCATGAATGGATATTTAGCGATCGAGAGAGAGAGAGTGGTTTATATTGATTTTGTCCCTCTGTCGGATTCGACCCATGTGCCGTATGATAGTCGGAATTGGGCTTGGACCTGGCCTTTGCCTTACTCCGTCCTCGCCCCGTCCTCCGTACTTCTCTGTAACGCTGGGGGATGCTTGTTCTGTCTGTGTTTCCCATTTGTAATGGCGGAGCTCGTATATTCCGGCGTAGCCAGGTTGGAAGAGCGAGGTGGGGGAGGTGGTGGTCGTGTCTCCGCGCCAAGAATTGGCATCTCTTTCGGAATAGCTTTCACCGGGCCATAGAGAGTACCGTATAGTCTTGAGGCTGCTCTTGTAGCATGCATGAGGGATTTCACACTGCGACTGCCGTGCTAGCGGCCACTCCCACTCATTATCTGGCACTGTATTTTGTGTCACCAGTAATGGGGTCTTTGAAATGGCTCAAACGCTAAACTTTTTATGGTTCCGGGGGGACTATTCCAAAAGAGGTGCCAATTCTTGGCTCGGAGGCACGAGTATGCCAGGAGGCGCGCTGTGCCACTCCGGATCCATGTAAGAATGAAAGGATGAATGAAGGAGAGAAAGAAGTGGTGGAGCAGAAACTTGGACAGCCGCTCGGTGCCGTAAGCGAGTGCAATATTACTGTACCCAAGAAACCTCAACCCTTCTGTCCCGCACGAAGGTCAAGTATTCCTGCCGTCCCACACCTCATGGATCTTATCACGTCGGCAGTGATTGTACGAGTATTCTGCGATGCTATGTTATACGGTGCCGGTACTAGGGTAATCAAATATACGTATATTTGACCAATTATTTTATATGATACAATACAATACATACATGCCCTGAAATTATAAACCCTAAAGCATTAACCCTTTGTAGTATTATTTTTTTCTTTCAATCATAATATTATTATGAATATATAAGTTGTACAAAGGAAGGTATTGGTACCAGGGGATTCAAAAGGCTACGAATGGACTAGTGCTGCATGGAAATAGGCAGCTTGTTTCTGTAAATTCTCTGATCCAAGGCAGTGTATTTTCTTTCTCCCTCTCCCGTTCTCTCAATGGTTTATTTTTTCTCGTACCCAAATTTAAGAGTCAAATAAAATACGTTTTTTAAAATAATATACGGGGTTTAAACCGTATTATACCGTATTATACAAAAGCGTTTAAAAACGATCTCACACCCTAGCCGGTACCAGTATTTGTGCCACACCTTCGCTGGACCTCCACAAACTTAACGACAAATGTGCTTATGCGGCACCAGAATCAAAAAGAAAAAAGGAGGAGATTTGCATCGTATCGACGGAATTCTGCTGAGGCACTTTATTAGTAAGTTTCACTTTGAAATCGCCGCCATAGTCAATGCCGTACAGAGATTCAGATTGACACCCTCTCCCCTTCAACTTTGGTGAACGGATAGCCCATTCCACAACTTTCCGTCCCACCATAAGCGATGCTGGGGAGGGCTGTTGCAGGTGCAGTTAGCTGAGATGCGGGAGATAGACATGGTAAACGTCGCTTTTCCGGAGCCCTGGATCGGCGTAAGATTTTGGGGATATCGAGCATCTTGGACTCTGGGTAAAGATGATTTGTTATACGGTACACGAGTGTTTGCCTCGCATTGTATTGATGCCGTAACTTAGTATCTAGAGGACATTTTTCGACACTGGTTTTTTCCCTTCCCTTTCTTTCTTTCTTTTGCTTACATTCCGTGAGCTCGTATTGGTAATTTGAAATTAAATGGAGCAGTTGTCTTGTGTGGCTGGTTAGGGACAATTGGGTTGAGATGTGTTAGGTGTTGGTTTTTCGTGATGAAAGCATTGACGAGGCGCTTGTAATGTATCATACCTTGCGGCAATTGAGCTCTTCGGGAAGAATTTTTCCTATTACTAAAGGTGGAGGAGTTGATAAGTTAACCTTTTCCCTCGTAGTGCATCGGGAGCGTTCATGGAGACTTGAGGTACAAGTTATGAACTATGAATGAAAGTTTAGATTCTCGGAGTACCTCTTGTGACCTCGCGTGATATTTATCCTTTATCACTCGTGGTACCTTTCTCCTGGTGCTGTCTGCGGTTCAGATAGCCTTCATATAATTCAAGGAGAATTAGCTTTATGCAATACCAGGGTTGAAAAATGTCCTTACAGTGGCTTACCGGAGGTTTAGAGATAGGATTGTATTGGATAATCTGGCTTGCCGGAAACCTTTCCCTGAAAATCGGATATCATCGTATGGTTCTTGGATCATCGGGATCCGACCCAAACGCCGGTTGTTACCGAAATGGAGGTGTGGGCAGGAGGTAACTGGGGAGTTTAGTATACGTCTCTTTACCTGCAGTTGGTTGTGGATTGGCATTTATACAAGCGAGAGAAGCTCAGGATATCAAGAAAGTTGTGTCGAACTTAAAATTTGTATAGGTGCTCTGGGAAAAGATATGATAATTATGATACTTGGAAAAAGTCCAAACTTTACTTACTTCCTTAGATAATGACGATAATGTATGTAGTGCACCATTCAAGAAAGCACAATAGACATATAAAATGGTATTTTAACGTGAAAGGTATACTTTATCCACATAATACAAAAAACTTTGATAGAGGAGGAACCAAGAGGCTTAGGTGCTAGTAGATGGGAGTTGCTTGAGTTTGTTATATAATAGGTGGCACCTAGATATAGAGTTTGTCTGGTTCTTGGCTCAATGGAGATGGACCTCCAGGCACCCTTTCAAAAAAAGAACCCTCAACTCCATCTTTGAAGGGGTACTAGCTCTTTTGTCCGACCACTTGAGCTAGCATACTACAATTTTGAACACTGGTTTCAATATAAGTTTATAGTCGGTAACCTCGAATACCTTTTACTTGTCATTCATTGCTCTTCTGAGGGGTTCAAATCATTCCAGTTCCGGCCTTGCGTTGTACTTTTTCTCTTCTGTCTCTCAGTTCTGGATATAGACCTACACCCGCATGTTTTACAAAAATAAAGCTAGTTTCTCCTCCCTTCTGCCGTAGAAATTTATAGGAATTATGAATTGGTATGACTGCTCTTGAGAAAGAAGCTTGATTTCCTTACCACCTAGTATGCAGCTGTGGGGTTTTATGCTAAACTAAACTACCGAGGAACTGAAAGAAACATTGGGAGCCTGAGGTTGGTAATATGAGAACCTTGGAGGAAAGAATTTGACAGGACCTCAGAGGAGGGGGGAAACTTATGAAAACCTTGGAGGAAAGAATTTGACAGGACCTCAGAGGAGGGGGGAAACTTATGAAAACCTTGGATGATACCATAGTTGAATATAGCATGGTTGTGCAATTGTGGGACAGATGGAAAAGAGATGAACAAAGAAACTCACATAGTAACTAACATCATTAGGAGAATGGTGAGGAAAGTACTAGGAGAAGCTAAATGAATGGAAACTGGTCTGACGGATAAGAACTAAATGTTGAATATATGAGAACGGATATGTACATGCATTGTGAACATTCACAGATATACGCAACTGTTGATATACCTCTGATACCTGGCACCCAGGTCTGCACCTCATATTTGCTCTTGCTTCTTTGTTTCTTTTCTTTCTCTCAGAACAATTCTGATGACAATCGATCTGCATCCTTTATCGACTTCTTATTAATTCACACCGTTTCCTTTTCCTAGTTCTCTCCTCTTGCTCTTGACTCTTAGCAGATAAGCTCAACCCCATTCTCTCTCTTTCCTCACTGCCCTCCTCCGGTTCGGTAGAACCCTCATAGTAACCATTGAGATTGCCGTTCGATCAGCTACAATTTTCAACACTAAATGAAAACCAGAATGTGAACCCTTATATCGACTCAATTCGCTACAGCCTAGAGCGACAGCCATAACAGACAATAAATACAAATTTCCTAGTCCATCACAGCCTTCCGTATTGCAAGAATCCAACATTCCATTCCCATTCCTGTTTTCCCAATTCCTGCCATGAATGCCGATTAACATTCCAACAGAAATCACGAGTGATATTCCATGATCAGAAATCCGCATATATGATAGTCTGTCCAGGAAATGAGCAAACAGGTAGAAGGTGCAGACCAGATAGGAATCTCGACGCTCAAACTTGTGGATATGCCTCCGGCTCCATAACAAAGGTTCAGATCCTATTCACCGCATCGGGTAATGGTAGCCAGGCGCCCATTCCACTACCTCAGGGGGGGTCGCTAGGGTTGCCCAATTGGTTGTGCGTCAACTCTATTGGATGGTAAAGTGTTGAGTGAGAGGAGCAAGATACCAAGGGTACGAGTCAAACAGGGTTTCAACCAGAATGAGCATTCCGAGTGATGGGTGGTGGATAAACAACATTTTGAGCCAACCCGAAATGTATATTCTATTCGAGTGATATAAAGCTTTGACAGCGGGGGAGCGGGGGGGGAGGAAGCTCCGGCCCTTGGCCCATTGGGCGTGGGCTATCCTGGAGACTTATAGAATCAGGCAGCCTCCCAGGGCGGGGTAGTGGTGGTTGTTGTTCAGGTATCATACTACTGGTATTGGCCCCTCGAGACTTCAAGGAATTTGAAAATTCTATCTTTCAAGCTGCCTACTTTTAGCCCACCTCTCAGCATGTAGGTAAATTTGTATCCTGCAGAAAGCTCGCTTATTAACAGCTATTTCCAGTTTGTATTTTTTCTATTCTCCCCCCCTCCCCTTCCTTCTTCTCCACCCTTCCCTTCTTCGCTCCCCTATACCCCTTCCGTCTGGCTGGCTAAGATTCTTGCTAGGAGGTAGGTTTTAGGATGTGCAGGAAAGGTGGGTTATCAGATGATCACATCATGTTTTGAGATTTCCAATTTCAGTGCATGTTAAAAGAATTGGGCTTTCTGATGAAATTATTGATGGAAGAACGCCAATGGATTCAAGTTTGTTGTTTGCTATGTATGTTGTCGCCGGGTTTTTTGCTGTGATGCCCTCTCGGTACCATGAAAGCACGTTGGGCCCTCTCACCTGTCGTGTGTTTTGTCCTCAACCCTACTTTCTATGAACTTTCTCAACTGCAAACACCACGCTCCAGCATTCCCTCCTGCCCAGCGCCCTCCCTCCTCTCCATAAAACAAACATCCCCTCCTTCTTACTCCCTACAATTATCTTTACCCCGCCAATCTCTACCCCTACAACCCGAAAAAAAAAACGCCACACGAATTCCAATGGCAATCCCTGAACCACCGTCTGTAAGTTAAAACACCTTCCCGCATTCGCTCATCTAAGCACTCTTATTGAAAGACTTTATCCAGGCAACTCGCAAAGTCGACGATGACACACTTGACGATTGGCTAGACAGCCGTGACGCCCTCGAAGCAGCGATCATCCGACTCTATAAAAAAAACAGGGAACACCTTGCGGCCTTGGAAAATATTAAGCAGGATAAGGAGCTTGACGAAGGTGCTCGCAAAAGACTTCTTGCGGAAATTAGAAGCAAGATCAGGCGAATTGACGGCAAGATGCTCGATTATAAAGAGCAGCTGGAAAGGCTGAATAGTGGCCTGAAAGCTATGGGCATTTGTGTTGTGCCAATTCACAGGGTACTCGATCGGTTTGATTGACTGCGGATATCTGGGTGGGGGGGTATTAGGGAGGACGGGAGAGGGATGGTTTTTATAGTGTTGGTTAACTCCAGAGTGTCAAGGGTGCTCAGCCTTCAGAGGTGGGATGGGATGGACATTCTAGTGGAGAGCTGGGCGAATACTTTGTAAGTGAAAAAAATCAACTCGTCGCGGCAATATACTAACAACCTCCACGGAATATTAGGACGTGGAATGGGATGGACATTCTAGTGGGAGAGTTGATGGATACTTTGTGAACAAAAACCTTTTTATTTGTAAGTGGGAGAAGAGATAAAAAAACCATCAAAATCTCGTTTGTGATAATGGACTAACGATCCCACCGGAATAACAGATGCTCGCTCTGTCTCTTTATACCATCATACTTCTTTGCAAGTTCACTTATGGCTCGGATTATTGGATAAACCCCGCACTACATGGCTCCCCTTTGGTCTCCTTCTTGCCCCGTTCACCAAAAAAATAACTTGGAGAATGTCAAATAAATAAATAAAATAAGCCAAACAAATTAATTTTTTCTTTCCCTTGTGTATTTGTGTTGTTTAGTGACTGTGGACCCTCCGAGTGATCAATCATGATTGCACCGATGGTGGCAGACCCCAGGCCATGTACTCAAGTACTGCCTGTACACGCATTGACGCGGACTAAGCGGAGTGCTAGCGCGTGTGCGCCGACAGCCTCTACGTGCACATGACTATAATTGGCGATATGTTATCTTCACGATAGTTTCAAATGGGCGTCCGAGTTGAAAGGCCCCTGATAGCAGATCTGAGTGTAGATCCGGAATGCAAGCCCACATTCTCGCTTAAATAGTCGTGTTTAACCGGGCCATCAGGATAATGTTTGGGAAAAGAGAAATGATTGGGATTGCGGAATTATTGGGATGAAGCGTGCCCGGTTTTAATTAAAATTTATTATCCAAGTCTTGGAGAATTCGAGGCTCGTGATGACAATGGAGTGGTGGAAGAAAACAGCTTGGATATTGAATGAGATTTACTAGCGTGCAAGTGATTTATCTACCGTGCATTTTGGGAATACATCGAGCGATGTGTATAAGGAATTGCATAGTATACCCGTTACCCAGTGCTTTGAACTTGTCGTAATGTTTTTTGTTCCCCTTCGTGTGTCCCGGGTCTGCACCGGCCCAGCCACAGATAACTTTTGTTATTGCATTGTGATGGCGGGTATTTGCAGGTGTCTGCGGGCATTGGAAGATATCTGCGGGCGTCTTCAGATATATGTGGGTATAGCTGGCATCATAGCCCGGTCAAATACGGCAGGTTCTCTGCTGATTATCTGGCCATTCCCTCGGCCGTGCGGACCCCCCGTAATCGTGGAACCCAGGCTCGCGGTGTGGAAAACTTCGAACCTGAAACTAGGAACTTGCTGCAATTTGGTGGGATTGTGTTCCAATAGCAGAGACGATGGTTCTCCCCATTGCGGCACGAAGGAGCAGGCAATATATATTAGTTCACCCACACGATAAAAGAATTTCCTTTCTTCCTCATCTATTTGGCATAGACCAACGGCAATCGCATTAAGGTTGGAGATTACTTAGCATTGCTTTTCCACACAGAATATCACGAGCCTGTTGTCTCTTCTGTCAGCCATTGGAGTTCTGTGCAGTTACAAGGCACAGGGAGAGATTAGAGGCAGACCAGTATGTGAACAGAGACACTGTCAATCACATTTTTTCAACCACCGATCCCAACTCCCAACCCAATCTGCATCCCGCTGCCCGTGGCTTCCTATCCTTTGCTTCTATTTTCACCAGGAAAAAGTGGCCGAGTGGCTGGTTGTGGCTTGGCGCAAAGCACAGCAACAGGGTTCTTCTCATGACGAAAGGTTTGTTTCCTCTTCCAGAAGTTCCAGCATCACTGACATCTGGTGAGTTCCCAAGCCCAGTAGGCCAACATGAGTGTCACATCAGCCCCAATAACCCCGGTAATTATCTTTTAATTCTGTCGTTTCAGTATATCGTTTATTAAACTAATCCATTCATCATAGGAGGCTTTTCTGGTAGCAATCAAAGAACTCGAGCTGGAACAGCTCCACGCGGAAGCTGCTCGCCTGCAAAATTCACTTTACCATCTGGCTCGCTCAAACGTAGCGCTGCAGGAATTCCAAAGCGACCCAGAACTCAAGGAAGCAATCGCCGACAACGAAATCACCATTCAACGTCAAAAGCAAAGAGTCCAGATGATTATCGAAGAAATCCAAAGAAGAGGTTTCCCGACGGACCACGTTGTTTTGGGGAATGGTGTTGATGCCATAAATGGTGAAGGGAAGATTGCGGATACCCGAGCGAGGGGAGAGCAGGAGGGGGAGGGGGAGATGCATGCGGATGACCAGGGGGACGGGGGTGTCTACTTATGATTTTCTGACCCGAAACAATTGTTGGGTTTGAGTTACTATGTGCCTTAATCGTGGTAACTGTGCAAGTCGAAACGGATTTCTCCAACCTTATAAGCGGAAAGCAATTGACGGGCATTCGATTTGTGAATTGACTGAGTCCAACTATCGAGATTTTTTGTCTCTGATTGTTGTTGTAGCCGTAGCTAACGCCAACAGATTTCTCGTACCAATCATGTTTGACCCATCCCCTGAAATCGGATGCTCCCTTGACTGATGTGCAACACCTTGGCCTACCGTATGACAAGCGGCTCACTCAGTCAGTGCCCACCGTAGACTACCGTAGTCCGCAGAGCTGCCCCGCCAATTTTCGCCCCCGCATCATGTGTCTGGGTCAAACCAGACTATGGTTTGTTCGGTTGGCTAGGCAACGGGACCGGGCAAAAAAACATGAGCCGCGGTTCCCAGCCGACACCTCGCAATACAGTCGAGTCCACTCTCGACCAACAAACACAATAACATCATCTCCAGCAACTTCGGACTCACACAGCAGCAGGATTCTAGAGCTCCTCCGCACAATCTGTATTCATGGCAGAACTAGGAGCCGAGGCTCTAAGGATCATATCCTCCCCTTATGCAGTTTCTCTAAAGGTTTGTCACAGACCCCGCTCTTCTTTCATCACCTTGCTGATTGAGGACTCTGCGTGCCCCCACAGAAACTTGATTCAATAATTAGAGCTAGTCCCTTCGATGATCTGCAATGCTGGGTGGATGCAAACCCGTGCCATATTGGAGTTTTTGCAAGTTCGATCGTCCGGGCATTGGAGTTCTGCCCATATGCTTTGCCGGTTCTTGCGAAAATTGGTAGCTTGAGCCATTCTACACGTCGGCGCTGTATTGGAGGGGGCTTAAGTCCTTACTGATCCATAACAGGGCGTATTCAGGCTGTGCGAAATGCTATGCTTCACGAGAAGAGGACACTGCTTGAGACATTGCTACGCAACGCAAATCGAGATGGCAATAACTGGGAGAAGGTATACACTCTTGCTAGTCGTCCTCCATCCATGGTACAAGAGAATTTATTTAGTTGCTCCTAGTATGCCCCCGCATGTTTGGCCCTGCTATCAAGCCCTCTGCCATGTGAATTCCCGGTACCAGCGCTTATCCTTCCTGTCTTTCTCCATTGCGTCGAAGTCGCTACAAAGAATCCATGTACGGAGTCTATCAAGGATGTCTATATTCTTGTATCCAACGGGCATGGCTATCTAGCGGAGCTCCTCACTCCGTCACAAAAGTCGCTACTTACAGATCGGCTATCGGGATTCCTCACAACCTCGGATAATGCAGTACTGCTCCTTGCTCTTACTACAATGTCCTGTATTGGTCCTGTCTTGGATGGCATGGGCTCCGGAAACGCAGCCAATAAAGGCGAAGAAACTCGCCAAAAAGGTGGGACAAAGGACTTTTTCAGTGGGAGGAAAGCTGTTAAAGTGATGAACCTGGTGACAAATATCGTGATTGATGTTGCCTCGAGAGATTCTGGAGATTTGGAATATTGCCTCGAGCAAATCAGGTTGGCAACCGTCATCGCTAGTAATATGACAGAGAAGGTCAAAGAATCCTTAGTTGACAATACCCTCAATATAAAAAAACTTGTGGAGAAGATACAACGTCCCGGCTTGGAGAGGCGGGCTCTTAGAGAGGTGTGATGAGAAATTGCCCACGAGCGATTTCAGCAGTAGCTCTGACGATTTCTTTAGGCTCTAAACTATGCAGTGGCATTATATCCCCAAAAGTCTCCAATTCCAGCACTTCCACCGATCGTCAAAAGCCTTTCCCATCAGTCAATCCGAGACGAGGCCCAAAGCCATAGCTCCTTATTTTTACCACCGAGCATGGCTCGGGTACTCGGAGTATGAGCTCGCGTTTCGTTTACTCAGTATTCTGGCTAACCTGGAGACAGACCATGAGTTCCCAAGATTACATCTCAGATTTAATTCGATCAATGTTTATCGCATCCTCTTTTCCACCTCCAATGACCAGTTCCTCCTATCTCGGCCTTCGAGACCGAACACAATTCACTACGTCCTTAACGGATTTGGCGATTGAATCTCAGCAACTCCGAACAGCTATTTTGTCATCCCTTGTCACAAATGAGTTCTCACGTCCAATCGCGACCTTCTTATCGGCACATGGCAAATCCCCAGCCTATACTTGCCAGGATTGTGAAGTATGCCCCGCTGGGCTCCTACGGTTGCAAAATGAGCTAGCTGCAGCCCTTTGCACATTGATTTTACGAGCTGGCGTTTACTCCCAAAAGGATGACACGATCGGTCTTGATCCATCACTCGCCACCTCATTGTTAGAAAAACAACTCCGCCTTTCAAAAGTTAATCATGTTTGTTCCGCTCTTTACTCAGCACGACCAAACCCCAACTCTCCAAGCACCGTGTCCATATTTGAGACTTCTGCAACACCCGAGATCAAAACCAACAACCGTGATTGGCGAATGCATCTGAGAGAGGCAATGCTTAGAGACGCCAGTCAGCAGAACGACGTGATCATCGCCGAAGTTGGAAAGATATGCCGTGATCTGGAAATTAGGTGCGAGGGAGTGGAAAAGCCTCTGCGGGAAGAGGAAGAGCGATCAGAGAAATTGAGGCAAAACATCAAGGATCTGGAGGCCCGGCTGGAAGAAGAGACAGAAGAACGGTCTTCTCTAAAAGAAACCCTCGAACACGAAAGGGAAGAATTCAAGTATAAGCTTGATGGGGAGAACGAAAAAGCTCGTGAGCATTTTTCTAGAATCGATGATCTTGAGAGAGAGCTACAAATAGCCCGAGATGAGGCGTCCAGAGTCAGATCAGAGTCCCAGGAAGCCCTTGAGAAGCTGAATGCCCAGCATAAGGATGAGATTCTAAGGATGGGCATTGAATCCCGGAAGGCTCTCGAGGGCCTGCGCTCCTCGCATGAAGCAGAGATTCACCAAGTCCATCACAGCTCCCAAGAGGCACTCAAAGAACTCACGGCATCGTACGAAGCGGAGAGGAAAGTTGCCCAAAAAGTAGCAGATACGCTCGCCCTCGAACACATCGAGGTCTTGAACCAACGTCAAGAAGCCATCGAAGAACTTGAAGTACATAATAGGTCACTTGAGCAAGAATCCGACCGACTACGGGAGGCTCTCGAAGAGCAGAGAAAGGAGAATCATGAGACTGATGAGAAAATTATCAGAATGGATGAACGGATCCAGATTATGGACCGTGAGCTTTCGGAGCTGAGTCTCGAAATGGAGTGCCAGAAAACTGCCCTCGGTCGCAAGGATAATGAGGTTGAAACCCTCGAACGACAACTCCGAGCCGCGAAATCAGACACGGAAGATATCGAGAGGGCAATGCATGCAGAGATTACAAGAACGCAAGAGAAGCTCGAGCACCAGAAAGAGTTGATTCAGGAGTTGGAGAGAAGGCTTGAAAAGACGGAAAAGGAGGCGAGAGAGAGCATCGATCATTTAGAGACTCGGAAAAATTCAAAGGTACTTCTCTTATGAGCAGCACCTCCCCTCAACCTATACTAATTACATTAGGTTCTACGACTGAAACTAGATCATGAGGAAGAGCTCCGAAAACTCCACACAAAGTTTCAGAAAACACGGGAAGCCTGGGCCACTGAGAGGGATACTCAGTTTGCGGAGAAGAGAGCACTCACGAAAAAGGTATATATCCTTTCCTTTTTTCCTTCGCCCCATAGCAGCCCGAAAAAATCTAACATGTTCCCACAAAGCTCAAACAACTCCACGACTGGCAAGAAAAGAAAGCCAAAGAAACCGCCAACCTTGCCCAGCAACTGATGTCCACTGCGACCAATCGCGACCTTGCCGCGCTTCTAGACACCGCCACTGACCCTGCACCAACACAGGAAGTCCAATGCGCTGCCTTATCCTCAATTGCCCCGGCCAAACCTCCCTCCATATCCTCAATGACAACCTCAACATCCTCCATCACCTCAAAAACCAGTTCAAAACGCCGCACCAACCTTCAAGACTTGTTCTCAGAAACCAACTCCCCACAAAAACACCGCAACCCAAAGCGCACAAAGACAAACCCAATGCCAAAGACATCAGTGCACGGGTCGCAATCCCAGGGGAGGTTAGATTTCAAGTCTGTCAAGCAGCCCAACCGACGGAAGACCGTCGGAGACTTAGAGACGGAGAAAGAGAACCATGGGCCAGAGCTTCAACGTGAGGTGGCAGCTCGGGAGACACAAACTGGGGAGGGGGACGAAACGGAGATTGACGATGGCGATGGCGATGGCGATGTAGATGAGTTCGGCGTGATGTCCTTGCCCCCATCCTCACCGTGCGCTTCGACAAGTTATGGTGGGAGTGGAATTTTTGGCGGCAGCATTGTTAGTTTACCCAAGGGGCTGGGTATCCGTGCGGGTGTTGGGGCCATGGGAGTCGGAGTGACAGAGAGTGGGAGGTTAGAGGGGGATTTGGGTTCCGAGTATGATGATACCATGGATTTTTAATTGTTTATTCTTTCGGTCCCGGGGTAATAATAATGGGTGTTTCGGAGTTGGGTTGTGTAAAGGGGAGTGGGTATTGCTTGTTTATTATCTGCTATTGCATTTGCTCGTAAATTGGGCGGTATTCGAGAGCGACTGAACTATGAGAAATTTGTTGTGCGGCCAGTTTTCGCTAGACAAGGAACAAAAGGAAGAACTACTTGAGTAAGTTATATCATATCTTGCTAGGAACACTAGCCTACCAGATATCCCAACCTCCCACAGTATTGTTCTTCTCTCTCTCGCTATCCAGAGACCTCATCACTGAATTGTAGTTCTATAACAATGAGTACTTGACCAATTGACACCCTGTGGTTCGCTCCCCACCCACCCCCCCTTCTATCACTATCTGCACCCTGTCTTTCCACTATAACATCGGCACAACGCCTCCCACTCCTATATGTGCCCTCTCATAACTACACTGAGTGCCAACCTGTCCAACTTAATGCCCCTTTACCTCACCTGCTTACTTACGTCTGGTGTACCACACGTTTTCCCCTCTATTGCGATTCACACTCGTGGATCACAGTGACTGCTACGACAACTATGGGGCAATAAAGTCAGTACATTATGCTATATCAACCTAAAGATGGAAAAGAAAGTGTTTTGATCCTAGACGGTACTTTTATAATTGCTTGATTTTTTGACCCCTTCATTATTATTCTCGTCGATCGTGTGCATCTTTGGAGGCCGGCTTCGCTGACATCAATTATCACTGGCCATTCGCTTGCTGGTCGGAACGGGGCGAATTTTGCTTTTCTAGTGGGACATCCTATCAGGAAGGTTGTATGCGGTACAGTATTATACTTGGACAAGGGGGCACCTTCTTAGCTAGGAGAAAATCTTTCCGGGTGGGGTAGGACAGACCCAGAGCCGGTATTATCGGCTGGTGCAAGCCCCGGTTAACAGCTTTTTACTTGCTCCCGGAGATGTGACCGCGTAATTACTAGTACGGTACTGGTGGATAGCACTGTAAACCTTTCAGTTCCGCTATTACTACGAGACTTCGTTTATCGTAATATCGGGCACGGCTCGGGGAGTTCATGGGTTGACGGGTTCCCAATGTATCTTCCTGTTTAACGAAGGGGAAACGCGGGAGCCATGCGTGCTGCCGAAGTAATACGAGTGACCACTCACGAGAGAGTCGAGTGCCACTCCAGGGGACCCCAATACCGGTATTTTTGGCCTCATGCCTCATTATGGCATGACTGGAAACTACCTTACAGTTGTCGCCCTCTACGCCTTCAGATAGGTCGATCAGACGTTTTCTGTAGCAACTTCTTCAGGTTAAGTTGAAGGCGTGGTCTCCCATCATAACGGGATCCCCCTTGTTCCCTTGGTTAAGTTACAGGCCATCGAGATGAGCCCGTTAACGAAGCTCAACGAAACCCATACCCTCAAGAACAGTACAGCACAACACCCCCGCGCGTGCTAAATCCCATTAAATTCCACCGGCCGGTTCTGCGGCGTTCATGCTATGAGATGATCTGGCATGTGTATACAGGCTGCAGGACGCAGACATATCTTACCATATCAGCCATATTTACCTCACGCGGTCCAGCCCAATTCTATGAATTATCTGCAGAGCCCTTCCTCCCTCCCTCCCCCTCCCCAAAAGGCTAACCGAGAGGTGCTGCAATCCGGGCAGCCACCAATCGGGTAAGGTAGATAGTTGATAGCGAAATACCAAGCCACCGGTAGGGCTCAAGTTAGGCCTAAGGCCAGGTGGGAGGCCTTTCGAACGCTTCCTAGCACTCGCTAGGAGAGGCTCGTATCGCATTGTTGGTTGTGGCGGTTCCTGCCGGGTATGGCAGAACGTCGGATAGGCCGGGCGGGCCGGGGGACCAGAACATATTCTACACAGCAGAAGCCACGGTGCTGTTTTCTAACTTCACTTTACTTACTTGGTCCGGTTCTATTAAGAACCCTCCCGAAGATACTAGTAGATTGCAGGTTTTTCAGGGCTGCCGAGCGTAGTCGACGTTCCACCATACCGGTAGTCCACCGGTAAGTTACCCAGCAAACCGCCGATGCTACAGGGTAACATAACAAGCATATCACAAGTATCACGGGCGGTGGCGATTCTAGGCACCGGTATGTCCCCCGCTAAACTTCTTGGCCTTGCTGTCGGGCTGTTGGGGACATTTAGCCCGTTTATGATACCGTACCGTGTCTACCTGTACGGGCACTGTAATGAGTACCGGTAAGTTACATGCGGTGCCGGCAGTGATTTAGGACTACAAAGATTGGTAGTTGAGCGAGATGGTTAAGGCCTGTTTGTTGCCTGTGGTGGTACTGTGTGCCTATCATGGTTGGGAAGTGCAAGCTTGGCCGGCAAGAAAGGGACGGGCGAGGGGAGGCTCTTCGCGCCAAGCGAGCCGACAGGGGCCAGTCGGGGAAGATGGTCCACTCACAGCTCACATAGCTCGATGAGTAAGGTGGCAGGCAACTGGGGCGAGTGGCACGATTCGCGAACTGTTTGTTCCAAGCTCCGTTATCCATAGCATTTTATAGACTCGAGCTGCTTTATCTGTCGCTTCTCCCCTGAATTCCCACAACCCTTTCCATAAAACATATAATGTTGGAGCCTACCCTTCCGTCGACTGTCAGGTGATTCCCGAGTAAAACGCTCAGCTGCCCCGTGTCTCCAGCTCCTTGCTTTTGTCTCTTCCGTCACCTGCTCAACCCGTCGATTCTCACTCGCTTTGATGCCAGTACCCGTACCAACCTTATTCAATCAACTTATCGCCAAAATGCCTAATGTTTTGGGGCTCGGATCCCGCCAGTCGTCCGCTCGTGGAGCCGCAGGGGGGGGAGGACCAGGGGAAATACCTGGTGCGGGTTCCGGTCCTTCACGCACGGGTACACCGCTATCGCAGCGGACCAACTCACTCAGGGGAGAACGGGAGGGAAGCCGTAGGGGCCAAACACCACCAATGCCCCAACAACCCGAAGAAAAGTATATTGTCTATTTGAGATTCCCGTTTGCGAGGAACGGGTTTGTCGATCCGCCGCAGGTTGGTACTCTGCTCTGGTGAAGTCTGGAGATGGGATGGAGCTCTAACTATAGGTAGGTGGATTGGGACGCTGGGAAGGAAAGGCACCTCTGGAAAGTCCTTTCCCGGAGCAATCGGAACGCGGACTTGGATTGTGAATTCCCTTCAACCCCCTACCCACGATTTGACCGCCTGCTAATGGTTGACAAGGGAATGCACTGTGAGAGCACGATCCATCGTCCTAGCAGATCCTCTTACGGCTAACATGGTCCATCCAACTGCAGTGCTAGCCACCTTCAAGTTTCTCGTGCATTTCTACTCCAACAAGCTGCATGGCTTTACGAGCGTGAGCTCTCTCAGATTCAAGCTCAGATGCGAAGGGCCGGGGGGGCCATTCTAAACACCAACCTGAGCTTCCCTACGCCCCCCTCTCCGCGGCCACAATCACCAGCTGTCATGGGTGGTGTCCCAATGGCGAGGACTGGAACTGCTGGAACAGGTGTGCTTCCCTTCCCGTCGGCTGTAGCCATGACAAACGGCGTTTATACAAATGAATATAGCGGACTTGAGAGTTCACTCATCGCTCTCAGTTCGATCAAATCCAATTACAACCCCAACCCCACGAACTACGCCCCTCCCTCCAACTCCGACTACCACTACTAGGCGTAGGTTTTCAGAGCACCTACCTGATGAAAAATGGCTAAACTTAGGACAGCCGTTGCCCAGCCTATGTCACGAACAGGCTCTGCTCGCACGGCGACCCAAGTGACCGCGGCACATCGCCTCTCCAGTCATGTGCCCGCCGAACCGGCTCGGGCTCCATCTCTTGCTCGGAGGCCGTCCTCATCAGAAGTTTCCGAGGAAGAGATCGAATCCCCAACCACCGGCTCATCTGATGAGGATGACGATGACGATGATACTGATCAACCTCTGCGCAGACTCCAGGGCTTCCTGCAGAAGAACCGTGGAATGAGCTCTGACGAAGATGAGGGCGATGATGAGCCAGCGTTTCTGCCTTTCGCTCCTACCGAGAAGCCTTCAGGTGCTGGGGAAGCAAATATGACAGAGACCGTTGTATTGCCTAGGAGACGTTTGGCCGGCGCGATGTCTGGGAAGGGGAAAGAAGTCAACAGATCTGTCACCTCCCCAGCACTTGAGGCTGCCTTGAAAAAGAAGGTTCCTGCTGCCATGGGCAGCCCCAGGAAATTCTCTGTGACTGACAGTGCGGGACCTAGCTCGCCAAGCATGGGTAGTAGTTTTAGCGATCTTTCTGGTATGTGTATTATATCTACCGTCTGATCTAAATACTGACACCTCATAGACACGAGCGTTACGCAGTCGGCAATGGAAGATGCCTACCTAAGCACTATGCAAGCTGGTGGTATGGGAAGCAGAATGTCTAGCCTGAGTCAGGCTGTTAGAAGTCGGTATTTTCCTACATCCAATTAGCCTGGTTGAATTCAGAGTGCGTCAGCTTTTTTGTCATCTCTCCCTTTCACATCTTACCTTTGGCCTCATGTTTCTCTATTGCTTTTCTTAGTCCGCTTCTATTACCCTTGGCTTCTTGAAAGGGGCCAATTTTGTGAATTGGGTGAAAATGTATAGTTGTTCCCCACAAGAAATTTTACGATTTACAATCTTCAGATAGAGTGCGTTCAGAGACAAACAATTGATTAAAATGATTTGCCACTGCAAGCCATCGTACTGATTCACTAACATTCTTATCATAGCTGAGATACCCCCCTATGTTAACACCCCTGATGCGGTTCCCGCGCGGAACCTTAGGATTATCGGGCGGCGGACCAAACTGGAGAAGGAAAATTGGAATGTCACCTCACTTCATGGGGGTAGACGTGGTTGATAAAGAGGGATTTTGTGCGTGAATCGGTGTCTGGCCACCCGGGCCGAGAACTCTGGGGAGCGTTTAAGGAGAAAGGGTCGACACTCTCCGTACGGCCGACAACTTATATCGGTGTATTGGTTCTTGGGGACCGAACTACTTTTGAAATACCCGTGTGGGATCAGTAAGCATAGACATCGATCCATATTTTAGTTGTGTTGTCGACCTGTAATCATAAGTCATCAATCGGCTTTGGCCCCTGGGCCTTTGAATTCAATTGTGGTTATATATGCCAAGCCGCGACACTTGCGCCGCACCTCCGGTTGCGCCCTCGACCTTTCGCAGGCAACTAACTACTCTCATCACTTCGACCCCCCAATCCATAAACATCACACCTCCATCCACCATATCTCACACCCATCAATACCCATCACCGTTGCCTTCATCCCTTCCATCTTCCACAGTGGACGAAGACCCAGCACCCAAGTAGCCTTATTATATCCGTCCAAGATGGGAGACGTAGCCGTTCAGAAGCGCCCCGCTATACTGCCCTTGACCGATCCATCTTACGGCACCCTCGACAGCTCCCTGGGGGATAACAACGATTACGCAAAACTCAAGAGGCTTCAGCGGCATCTAGAGTATGTCTCCCTGGACCCTGGAGATTGGTCTGCCGCTGGCTGTGGTGATGGGAATGATGACTGATAGCTCTGGGAATCTAGGTATATTACTTTGCAGGAGGAGTATATCAAAGATGAGCAGCGGTTCGTTTTTGCCCCCCCGGGTGTTCAGGACTGAATGTATCGGTTGGCGGATGCTGATTGTCCGATAGAAGTTTGAAGCGAGAACTTGTTAGAGCGCAGGAGGAGATTAAGCGGATCCAGAGTGTACCGTTGGTAATTGGACAGTTTATGGAGGCGATCGATCAGAAGTATGTCCCCTACCCCCCTGCCGGACCCGATGAATAGGTGGGGCGGTGGTGGTGGATCGATGGATACTAATGCTTGGCTCTACAGTACCGGAATCGTCCAAAGCTCGACGGGATCAAACTTTGTTGTTCGCATATTATCTACCCTTGATCGGGAGCTCCTCAAGCCTTCATCGTCTGTCGCTTTGCACAGGCATTCGAATTCCCTCGTTGATATTCTTCCCCCCGAGGCAGACTCGTCCATTGCCATGCTGGGAGCTCACGAGAAGCCCGATGTTACCTACGCTGATGTCGGAGGGCTGGACATGCAAAAGCAGGAGATCCGTGAGGCCGTTGAACTTCCTCTCACGCACTTTGATCTTTACAAGCAGATTGGTACGTCGAATCTTGGAATAAGTTGAACGGAGTTGTGAGTTTTATCCTTTGTGTAGTACTTTTACTGATTTCTACCCAGGGATCGATCCTCCGCGGGGTGTTCTATTATACGGCCCACCTGGAACTGGAAAGACCATGTTGGTAAAGGCTGTTGCTAATAGTACTACAGCATCCTTTATCCGTGTGGTCGGTTCCGAGTTCGTCCAAAAATATCTTGGTGAAGGTCCTCGAATGGTTCGTGATGTTTTCCGCATGGCTAGGGAGAACTCTCCTGCTATTATATTTATCGACGAGATTGATGCCATCGCTACAAAGCGGTTCGATGCGCAAACTGGTGCCGATCGCGAAGTGCAGCGTATCTTGCTGGAGCTACTAAATCAAATGGATGGGTTTGACCAAACCTCGAATGTTAAGGTAAGTCTCCCCGACGGGAGGGATGGGTATCGGGTTTATTGTTTTCTCGAATCTAAGTTTTAAATAGGTTATTATGGCTACCAATCGTGCTGATACCCTCGACCCTGCTCTCCTCAGACCTGGTCGTCTGGATCGTAAAATAGAGTTCCCGTCGCTCCGCGATCGTCGTGAAAGACGCCTTATCTTCACCACCATTGCTTCAAAAATGTCACTCTCTCCTGAGGTTGATCTGGATTCGCTGATTATTCGGAACGATCCCCTTTCAGGAGCCATCATCGCCGCCATCATGCAGGAGGCTGGCCTGAGAGCAGTAAGGAAGAATAGGTACAATATCATTCAAGCCGATCTGGAAGACGCGTACAGCAGCCAGGTCAAGGGTGGCAACGAGGCGGATAAGTTTGAATTCTATCGTTAAATCAACAACTTGTGTAGAGATGTTTTGTATTTTTAGAAATGAAATGGGGTTGTTATGGGTATCAATTGGATGTTCAAATGAAACCGTTTCTACGTTGCTTGTCCATGTTGCATAGCTTGACAGGATACTATCATCAATGACCTGCGCCGAATCGGGAGTATCGAAATATACACATAATAATATTATTATATAATTATTATGATACTTGTATTATTATTGCAACGCTTTTCTTTCCGCGGATTATCTTTTCCGGTGAGGAAACAGTTACCCGGCACCGGATTATTATTATTACCGTATTTTTGATTTTCGGGACATCTTGTCCTCCCAGCAGGCTCCACGCACGCATAATCTCACCACTGTAACTTTATCATAGTGCAGGCTGGCTTCCACAGACATAAACACCAACGCCAATACCATTACACAAGACCCCACAATGCTACATCTTTCCACCCGATCGTGCACTACAATCCTGCTCAATACCTCCAGAAGAAAATGCCTTCAATCAGCCTCCTGCGGTTTTGGCTTCCGGATAGCCCAAAGCAGAGGACCCCAACGATTCTTCCACCACAATACCTTCAAGCAATTCTCGAGCCGAAAGCCTCCCCCAAAGCCAGGAAAACCAACCCTCGAGCCAGCAACCAACCCTTCTGAGAACCTCCCTTCTACACCCCAGCCTGCACTCCTCGATATACTAAAAGCTCGGGGCCAGTTATCCCAGGACCAGGCTCCACGAGACCTCTCCCACTCTCAACGCCTCTTTGCACCCTTCATTTTCACTCTAGCTGTTTGCGGAGGCTCTTACTATTTCGCTTCAACGTGGACACCTCCCCCACTGGATGCCCGCATGTTCCCGGCCTTGCCCCAGAGTGTGACGACGGTCGCTGCCATAATCGCTGCCAATGCTGCCGTCTGGTTTGCATGGAAGATCCCGCTGCCCATATCTTGGAGGTTCCTGAATAGGTACTTCCTTTGTGCACCCGCATTACCGTATAGCGTAGGCTTGATGGGGAGTGTGTTTTCGCATCAGAGCCTGACGCATTTGGGGCTTAACATGTTTGTACGTTATCCCCCTCCATCTATTAAAGTTTGGATCGTGAGTGGGCGTGGCTAATTGAAAAGTGGGCTGGGAATATAGGCGTTGTATGTCTTTGGGTCAACTCGTATGTTTCCCTTTTTCTCCTTTTCCGCTTTGTTCCACGACCATATAGCTGATTCACCGAATCATAGTCTGTGACCAAATCGGCCGTGGCAACTTTCTCGGTCTATACTTCTCCTCGGGGGTCATAGCTTCGTTTGCCTCCTTAGCGCATAACGTCCTCCGTGGCCGCTTCCACGTATACGCACTAGGTGCTTCCGGTGCCGTCTTTGGTGTTCTCGGTGCATTCACCTACCTCAACCCCGAAACCAAGCTCACATTCATCTTCCTACCGTTTGTTGCTCTGCAAGCTAAGTACTTCATGTCTGGCGTTGCGATGCTAGAAGCATTTGGAATCGTGAGGGGGTGGCAGACTATCGACAATGTGGCGCATTTAGCGGGGTTGGGTTGGGGGGTCGGGATGGCGTACTGGCTCGAGCAGAGGGTTAAGAGGAGGAGGCGGCTAGAGGCTGCAATGGCGAGGGAGAGGGCGTCAAAAGGGTGGTGGTGAACTAGGGAGGCTTCAGCACGGTAGGTTAGAGAGGGGGCAAGGGGTAATTGATTAGAATATAATTTTTTTGCGACGAATGTTCCTCGATGAGAGGGCTGATTACCTTCTGCTCTAAGTAGGAGCGGGGCAGGAAGGAGGGGGGAGCAGAATAGGTTGCGCTTATAGGTGGTTCTAGTATTGCCTCTAGACCAGTAAGCCACAGCACAGCGCATTTTCCATGAGTTCTCCTGTTCGACTAGAGTTCAGCCGTCCATTAATCCACCCGCCTATCAACATAGAGCTGTGGCGTCCTCGATGGCAAGACAAAAAGTGGGAAAGAAAAGTGGGGGGAAAAATCAAGATTGTGGATCAGAAATTAATTCGCCACGCAGTTCTACCCTAATGCAAAAAATCCTTGTCCCTTGAACCCACGTCGAGGCTACCCTAGAAACTCTGCTAAACAAAATTACTGAAATCCATACGTGTAAAATCAATTCCAATCACAACCTATCACTCCCATATAGCCATAGCGCGGATAGCTGATCCCCCCCTCAAATGCTTGGTTCACTGAACTGAGGGAGTAAGCTGCCACCACGCCTTAACCATCCGCGGGGACAGAATGCCCCCTGGGGGGAAAACAAAATAGCTATCATACGAATTACGTTCACCTATATCACGAATACGCCCACTTTCGGCCATAAAGGGCTGGGCGAAGCCCTGCCCACCTACCCGCTTAACCTAACTTACCTGCATAACTCACTCTATGATACCTCCCCCATTGCTCCAGCTCACGCTGCCGCCACTTTCCATGGATACATGCCCAGGTTGCCCGTCCGTCTAACTAACGGTACCAGAGGGTGGATTGGGGACCGGGAATGGTTAATACATGTGCACGCACTGTGTGCATGTGTTGTGTAGTATAGTATGCGTGTACAATAATATCTATCTACGGCGCTGGGGGGGGGGGGTGAATTAATAAGGGAGCGAGGCAGGGAGGCCCTACCTTGATAGGGCAATTGTAGTATACCGAACGAGAGGCCCTAGGGCCGACGGAAATATAAAAAATAAAAATAAAAAAAGCAAGGCAAGTATGATAATTACGATATCGACACCAATGGGCAAAAAGTGTATGTAGGAAATCGATACGACAAATTTGTTTAGATGGGCGGTGATTCCCGGGGGGGGGGGGGGTCGGACAGTACAGTACTCTTCAGGTTCATTCATACAAGTAATTGCCATATTTCCGCCATTTCTATCATTTACCACGCGTGAATATCGCAAAAATCCCGTGAATGTTCCATTACCATGCCTACTCCTTTTCCTCCTTCTCCCCTCTCCTCGCTTCATGTCATGTCATGTCACGTCACGTCACTCTTTTCACACATTTAGTCTACCATACCCCCCAATCCTCATCCTGGCCACAGGATTGGTGGTGGTGATGGTGGGTAGGGGGGTAAGTGAGATGGGAGGCGGGAGTGCTGGTGCCCCGCCTTTGCCTCTAGTGTGTTATGGCGATGGCGGTGGCATGGGACGGGGGGAAGAGGTGAGGAGTACTTGGTACCCGGGGGGAAAACATACCCGGCCGATCATTGACCCCTGGTGCTTTTCTAAAGGATTTTGGTTTCATTTCGAGCACAGGACATCACTCGTGGGGCGACGTGGCGTTGTTCGTGATTTCTCGGTCAGGCTTTCCCAACATATGTCGCATCTGACATTTATTTACCCTCCATTACGTTGGGTTTCCATCATCAAAAATGTGCTTTTCTATTTTACATTTAGCTGGTGCTGGCCCTCCCCTTTTCCCTACCTCCTCACCATGCCTCGCTCGTTTATTCTCGGGCAATAACCATCGCTTCCCTTTGCGGGATTCTCCGCGTTTGACCCTTCTTCGAATGCTTTCTCCTGTTCTCCTCCTTTCTCTTGAGGCTAGCCTCCTCAATTTTCTTGATCTCTCCCGTTTTCTTTATAGGTTTAGGGACGTGTCTATGCCTCGCTATCCTACGAATCTCGGGCATGTGTTTGTATCTTTCTTTGAGGGCGTTATCGTATTCGAGTTTTGTACGCTCGCGGGCCGAGCGTATGTGGGAGCGTTGGGAGGCCTCCGCGCGCCAGAGACGGACGTTCCCGTCATCAGACCCGGAGAGTATATAGCGAGTGTCGGTTGTGAAGGCAACCGAGAATATGCGTTGCATTCGTTTTGTATGATAGATGTCCCTGCAAGCGTCGCACTGGTGTCAGCACTTTTCGCATTCGGAGGCGATCGCCCCAAATGATATATGAGCTAGGTCCTATGAATAAAATTACCTTGAATGCCCGTCACGGGCTCTGTAGATCCTGATAGTCCGGTCATAGCTACCAGTCACCAATTCTTCCCCGGTAGGCGAATAATCCACGTCCATGACTGCGGAAACATGATCCTTCAGGACATTCAATGCTCTGTTGAGTTTACGCATGTCGAAGATATATGTATTATGGTCCTCGCTCGCGGCGGCAAGGTTAAACGGCTCCATCGGATTCCAGCAGATGGCGTTCGTCCGCAGCCTCGTAACAACTTTGGCCGTCGGGGACGAGGTCCGAAGATCGTAGAATATCAAGGTTCGGTCCGATCCTGCCGAAGCAAGGATGGAGGTCTCTGACTGGTTGAACTTGACAGTATTGATCGTGTCGGCGCCCCACTGGAGAGTTGCGATCGGTTTCGAACGACCGATGTCCCAGATATCTATCACAGATGATGCAGTGGCGAATGTGTGATCCAGTCGGTGATGGGAGACCCCATTGAAGGCTCCGGGACCGAGATATGTCGCAGCGGGAACGTTCGAGCTAGCACCAACCCCTCGTGGACTCCACAGCTTGACCGTCCTATCACTCGCGCAGGATAGCAATCGATCATCCCCGCCAACAGATGTAAAGCACAACCCCTTCACAATTCCTTCATGAGCCTTAACTGTCAAAACCTCCCTTCTATCCGCCAGGTCCCATATTTTGACCTCGCCGTCGCCGGAACCTGATGCTATTCGGTTGAGGGTGCGGATATCTTTTGCTAACGAATATACGCCGTCGACATGGCCCGTTCCCAGTTGAGCGATAAAGGGGGCCGCAAACATGCGCTCTAGTTTGGTCGCATTCAATGCTCGGGTATACTCACGAGCCTTTTCGAAAGGGTGTATTTCAGGATCCAGGTTTCGGGGCTGCACGGTGGCATTCGTCCCCGCAGGACAATACGTCGAGGACGACCGCGAAAGAGCTTTCACTTTCTACACGAGGAGAAAGTAAGGTGTTAAGCTAGTTTGTCCATGATCCGGGGCGGTGGGATGCATACCATGCTAGGGAGAGTCTGAGTTGCGGCTGCGCTTGTGTGGTGTAGATATCGTTTGATGGGGATAATTTGGAAAGAGTATTAGTCTGCAGGGGATCAATGAACCGTATCCGGCGATAAGACAGAGGAATTCTTGAAGTGTGTATGAAGTCAACGCAGTGCAGGGAAAGTGTGCGGAGAACTACGGTACCGGTATTGAAGGGAAAAAATGTTTCTAAAGACGATTGTCAGGGTTAGGTTTAAGCTTAGACCGCAGAGCCTCTTTCTGGAAAGCGTTACTGTCTTTGGCCATTTATCATAGTGTTCGTAAGCTTGGCACCCAGACAAGTGCTAATAATACGAAGGCGCCCGAACACTTCATAAATATCCAAGTACAAGCATAGACTATGTATCATATCATTGGTACCCTTACAGCATGATCGTAATACCTTAACATGAACACAACCCAAATCCACATAACGTAAATCTCGAAGCGTCCGACCACAGCTATTGTTCCAAAACTTGCGGCCAAGATCATCAATCGGAAGAGACAATTTAGACAGCTAATTTATCATATTAAAAAAGTACGGTAATCCACATGTAAAGGTGAATCAGCAAAATTTCGGCATATGAGTGTAGTAAAATACAAAGTGGCATAGTACTAGTACCCATACCATACCATATCATAAACAGTAAGTAACAAATACCATAACAACAATACCCGTACGCCTATCTATTTCACCGGTAGCGACGGTCCCAAGAGCACGCAAGCCGTATAAAGAGGAGCCAAAGAGCCATTGAACTCCACCAAACAGAACCGATAGATTAAAAAGAAAAGAAAGAGAAGAAACTTTGTACAGGAATAACTGAACTTGGAAAAATACTGGTCATCCACCCACTAGCACAAGACATAAGGGGGTGTATATTACAGGTGAAAGGTTGCAAACGTCTTCCGGCTAGTAGAAAGAAAGAAAGAAAGGAGATAGGTCTTTATATCATACCTCAAAGGTATGCCCGGAACACCGATCATGATCTTCCAGATAATTTCCATTCTCGTCTGGGTAAATTCCCATTTTTGCCAATATTTCCATATCGGTTTTTTTGATGGAAACACGGCGGAAGCATTCTGGCAAGGCAATCTTTGCTCTGCTCCCAGATATTTCGTATTAGTGGTTCGATTCCAAGCAAGGAAGAGGGGGTGAAGTACTTTATCATGTCAACTTTAATGTTTCGGGCCTTGTCCTTTAGCTGTACATTGTCTCTGCCTTCTAAGCCGGATATTGCTGACTGATGGCTAAGGATGAGCTCGGCGTTCAATAACAATAGAATAAGGATAAGAGGAACTCTCACATCTCTGATGACGGCCCACGACGGACCATGATCATGGATTGCCTGTATCAATGCCTTGGTGCCTCTTTCGGTCCAAAAGGTTGTTGGCCTTCGCAGTGTATGAACCGCTGCACGGTTTATCTTGGCTAATCTGTTGATCCTAGCAACCTCTTGCAAGCTTCTATGGCCGCCTTCGTCAAACCTTCTGCCCAAAGACCCGGCTCGCCGACCATTAGCTTCCTCTGAGGGGCTTCGCTGCGAGGGATTGGCAGAAGCCAAAGCTACCCTAGAGCCATTGCGCCTCCGAGTTGGGGAATCGCCAGCGGAAGAGTGGTTATATAAGACCACAGCCCCCCTTCGCGATGAATTAGTCGAGTCTGATGAAGGCATAGAGCCATGTTCAGAACTTGATGGCAAATCCCTCCGGCTCCTATTCAATACATCATCCCTGACTTGCCTTGGATCAGGCACGAATTCGCTGTCATCCTCGTCCTCATCTTCATCATCCCTTGGATCAGGAACAAACTCGCTCCCATCCTCGTCCTCATTCACTCCTTGCTCCCAGTGTGCCCCTTGTTCATCGTCTTCCTCTTGCTCCTTCTCGCCCTCAACTAGGATGCGGCCCCTTCGTTTACTCCTACTCTTATCTGACCTGATGGGCGGTGTGTAAATTATAGCGCCTTCTTCATCAATAGGGCTTGTCCTCTTTGCTCCTTCTTGAGGATCTGTGAAGCGCTTTAGTCTTTTCCTATGACGCGGAGAAGGAAGCGGCATCGGAGTCATCCGCTTCTTGTTTTCCTTGTCCTGCTCCCTACGAAGCTGGGAAAACGCCCGATAGCCTGGGTCATCGCTGCTATCTCCATCGCTCTCATCCCAGTCATCCTCACTGACTCGTGTGAACTCACCGCCGTCTCCTCGATTCGTCGAGGGCAGATTATCCGGACCTCCGGACGGCTCTTGTCTCCCTGATGGAAGTGGTAAAGGAGTTGGGTCCGATTGTCTTTGTTGAACGAGTCGTTTTTTTGCTCCTTTCAGCTGCTTCATCTGAGCCAAATTGTTCACAACAGTCTCAGAAACCGCGTATCCGAGAGTCGTGTCATAGGCTTCCTCATCCTCGTGCCTGTTCGCTATTTCCATGATTTCTGACTTGCGTTTGCGCTTCTTAATTGCGTTTACTTGAGCAACAGTAGTAGCAATTGACTCCGGGTTGGAGACAATGGAGGACATGGGGTTCGCCAGAACATCTTTCGACAGAGCCTCCTTAGCCAACAAATCCCTTTTGATCAATTTAACAGCACGCACATTAAGCCTGTCACAACCAGATGAAGTTGATTAGCACATAGTCTGATAGTGTAAAACAAAGCAGAAAACCAATGAGACTCACTGCGATCCGCCACCAACAAATTGTGAAGAAGCCTCTGGTTGAGAATCAGGATTCTGGTTGTCGACTGTTTGGTTCCCAAAATTTGGTAACTCTAAATACTCTACTTCGTCCACCTCGGTCGATATTTGTGACGTATCTCGATTGAAGGTGCCCCCATTCTTGGGGCTGGCTTCCACGTGCTGCTGGGATTTTGGATCGGCATCGGACTGGACTGCTTCCTCATCCACAGCCCCCTTGCTGGCACCCGGACCCCGCTCCTCACCAGCACCCGCATTAGAATTTTCGAGGCCACCCAGCCGCCCCTTGATAAAATCTGCTATCCGACACACAAATTCTTTCCAAGGGAACAGGGCCACCAGTTTTTCGAAATTAACCTGAATACGGCCCCCTTGAGACTCTCCGTCGTCATCCTGACCCCCCTCGGAACAAAACGTTGACCGGATACTGCGGGTTCTCTCGACGATTGCCTTCTCCCATCCATCAACATCACGTGAACCCGGCCAAGACTTGCACCTGTATTCTGGCTTCCCATCATTGGCCTCCTTCGCTGGAGCTTTTTCCATAAAGAAATGTCTCAGAAATACATCTGGCTCAAGAGAGTCTTCCCGAACCGACAACATACCGCGGATGACCGTCTGCGTCCTTAGGTCAAGGGCAAACTGAAGGTTCTGATCATCAATAACACCCCCTACCTGGGCCGGAAAACATCTCTCTATGCTTTTTAACTCTTGGAAAGTGCTATCATCCTCCTCATCTGCGGTGTATATAAAGTTGGCTAGAATAGCCAAGTTGGCTCTGTAAATAACAGGAGTATAAATTCCCTCTCCCAGTGCCGCTTCCACAGTGCCAACGTCAAGAAAATGCGATGTACCAAATACTATCTTCGAAGCATCAAAGGCCGGCCAATAAACCCTCAGCCGCTTTGAGACCTTCGAGCTCCTCGTATGTGTGCTAGCCAACATATCTTCTTCGGGTGGGTTTAGAATCAGAAGATCAAGTAGTCTCTGGGCATTTCGGTCAAGTTCCGAAGTTGATTCGAGCACCAATTCCGTATCCATTGCCTCTAGTTCCCGCTGGGTCGACGATTTTTCGGCTCCGATGGCCCGTGAAGTGATGGGACCATCCGAGAGGGATCCAGAACGCCCACTGGTAACGGAGGAACGCGGTGTATCTAGGGAACTGGCGAAGCTAATCACCTCATCTTCAGGAAGATCGGGAAGAGCTGAAATTATTGTGAGCAAGCTATCGCTATTATGCGCCACCGTTAAACACGAGCCCATGCCGGCGGTGCCCGATCGCCATATGTGGGATGTAGGAGTCATGAAATGTAAGTGCATTGAAATGGAGAGGGTTGCGTCTAGTAGGGAGAAGGGGCGCTTGGCAACTGATGGCTATCCTCAGTGCGAAGACGGGATCAGGGAAGCACAACAATGGTTACCAGCAAAGTAGGGCATCGCATAAACATTGATAGGGGTAGGGGTATCGGGGTTGAATAGGCAATAATAATATGATAGAGGAAATAATCTAGGCAATGCTCACCTCGCGGAATTTTGTCCCCCTCTTGAGCCCCATGTGCTTGAACCGGAGCCATAGATTCCTCCCTTGACGGCCCGAAAACGTCATCACCATCTCTTGAGCGTCCTCTTTGCGACCTTGGCCCCGCCCTCTGTTTAGCCACCCGATTCTTCTTCGCTAGGCCGCTCGGCGAGGGTGACGGTAATACAGGCGTTGTCCCGTTGCTTTTCCGCAGAGTTCTTCTCGCGGCAATCAATGCTGGGCCCGGTGAAGCAGATTTCGCACGAGTCCTAACAACCGCTTGTAGTTCTGTCTCTGTCCTTTGCGAGGAACCGATAGGCGAATGCGAATAGCGATTCCGGTGCATCGGGTCTCGAGCACGATGGCCAACCACACGATCATTGGAAATACTACGGGTCCGAGCCATAGTTGAAAGTCTATACCTCGCTGAATGCTCCAGTGCTTCGATTGTCGTCCGATGTGTTGAGGTATGGTGGGTGAAATGGCAGTGGGGTTCGGAGTGTGGTTGCAGTGAGCGAGATGTGATGATTGGGGGACGCGAGAAGGAGATGACGGTGCATGGCTTGGCAATAGTAAACAAGATAAAGTCTTGGCGTTGCAAGTACCGGTACCGGTACCGTGCCCTATAATAGCACTCGTGCATAAGGTACCGGTGCGATACTGTACCGCACTCGAGTACCCCACCAGTATGTTACTCATACAGTACGAGTGGCCGATAGATATATTCGTCACGTGAGTCTGATAAGAAAACTTCGGTGCACCTTTTGGCTGCGATGTGTCCTTAGATAAGGCACGTGACGAATATATTTATCGGCAGCACTTGTAGAGTGATGCCAGCCACAATGGGTTTCTCACGTGCCATCATATGACAGGCATGGAGGCCAATCCTGCCAACATAATCCTGAAGCGATTACCGACCGAATAAAGCAGGGCCTTGTTTGGATACCACCGTTCCGTTCCATCGCCCCATACAGAGTGACCGTTTCTGTCCGTTTCAAAACGGAAGGATGGCCACTTTTGTATGGGGAACAGTCCCGAAACAAAATGGTCGCAGTGTTGCCAAACAGGCCCTAGGGAGCTCAGCAAAATCGCAGGATTTTCGAGTGCCCCTAAAAACACAGTTGAAGCAGGCAGTCGCGGTTCAAGCAACTATCAGTACCGGTAGTCTAGAGTACCGTACAGAGAGCTACAGTACCACACATCATTCCCAAACCCGGCGGCGGCGGTGGCAGTGGAGAGTTACCGGTAACTTACCAGTATACCGGCAGTGCCATTGGGTCAGGAATTCCGCAACCCGCACGGGTAGCGGCTTCCCCGGGTCCATGTACCATGAACTATTATAACTCCGCGTCGGTGACCACGGCACTGGCAATGCCATAGTACTCGTATCATACTCATGTTGCCAGATTGCCCTGCCAGTTCCTATTATGGAATCGCCCATCCTCGGATACTTTAGCCAATAAAATCTATGAAATGTTCAATGTTGTGTCAATGGTGAAATGGCAAAGGACAGCTCAAAGCAAAGACCATAGTTCTGGTTACACGTACTTGTATTATATGTGCTTGAGTATGCTAGTATGTGTAAAGGAAAGAGAAACTCATTCCGGCACGCCAATTCAATGCCAAAATTACCACTCTCTTTAGGATTGGAATACAGGCAGCAGATCCAAGGCCCTGTGGCATCTCAAACTCTCTTCGTCATGTAATTTTTGGTTTGTTGGTCAGGCTGTTGGCTGCTTGTCATACTTGTACAGTTGAAGCAGTCCCGGTTCTTCGGGTTCTGCTTTCACACTAGAGTGCAAATTAAGCTTTCCAACATAGTTTATTGGCTGAAATATCCGAGGATGAGCGATTCCATAGTAGGGACTGGCAGAGCAATCCGACAACATGAGTAATGCCGTAGCGTACTGTTCTAGAGAAAGCCCCATTCACTAAAAAGAGTACTGGAATGGATTATCACGGGTAAAACTAGAGAGCCCTAGTACATCAATACTCCCATTCGCCTTTACAGAACACGGTATGCTCATCCATCCGATCCCTCTGCAGAATCCATCCAAACCATCACTGTTCCGTCCAGCCCACAACTAGCAACTATTTTCTCCGTCGGGTGTGAGTCAACTCCCAAAACCACATCTGGATGGCCCACTAGAAGATGAACAATCTCCTTAGTCTGAATGTCCCAAATGAAGACATCCGAGTTTTCCGACCCGGCCATTCTGGGAATCAATCATCAGCATTTCTCCACGCGCACCAAGACCAAAAACTGCGAGAGGATGACTCCTTACACAAAACAACTGCCATTAGCAATTATGAATGTTGAAAATATACTGTACTTTTCATTCTTGTGCCCCATGTAGGTTTTAAGGCATTTACCACGGTGGTAGTCCCATAACCGGACACAGCTATCCTTGGTCCCAGCTAGGAGATATTTCCCATTAGGTGAAAACTTGACAGCCATGACAGGTGCATTATCTTCCTCGACCAACGTTCGAAGGCACTGGCCAGTAGTAACATCCCAAATCCGTATCAACCCATCGTGAGAGCAAGAGACGATCATTGTCCCATCACGATTGAAATGGACGCCAGAAACCGGATCTCCATGCGCAGGTAAGGTTTTCATGCACTTTCCCGAACGGATATCCCACAGACGAACAGCCTCATCATAGGAGCCGGAGGCCACGATGTTACCGCGGGGCGAGAAGGCGACAGTATACACCGCATTATGATGGCCACGGAGAAGTCTGAGCATTTTCCCCTAGGAATGACTGGTCAGCCAACACAATCAATTGCTAGACCCAGAGGCTATACGCTAGCAACATCCCAAAGACGGAGGGTCTTATCATCGGAACCGGAAACTAAGGTGAGGGAGTCCGGTGCCCAGTCGATATCCGATATGCCTGCCATGTGCCCTTCCAATGTTTGCTCGTATTTTCCAGTTTTTGCATGCCATATCTTAATCGTTTGGTCGGCCGCTATCTACTTGTTAGACTACCCACAGTGGCCAAAACGATAGCGTTGAGAAAGCACACATACAGCAGCTCGCGAGCCATGCGCCATCAGGACTAAACTTCACGGATGAGACGCCCATCCTATGCCCCTTGAGCGTGTATTTCAGCGCGTAATCGGGAACAGTCCGTGTATCCGATGAATCTGACATTCTCAAATCGGTTTGCTCTGGCTGTGCGGGGGGTGGTTCCTGTGCTGACGTGGTGCGTGACAGGTAAGCAGAGCAGGGCCGGAGCAGGGCCGGAACTGTTTAAAGGAAGAGATGGGCACTTCCCTTGGGGCCCAAGGTCACGGCAAAATAATGGCTTTCATTGAGCTCAGCGGTGGGCAAATGTGAAGCTCTGGGTTCACATATGCTAGGGCCCGAAAATCGGTTGCCAAGCTCAATAATGAGCCAGATGCGGCTCTCTCAAGGGCCAAGAGAACAGACGGATTGTCATGATACACCACCGGTACCGGTATCGATACGCCGATATGCTCCAAGCAAGAGTACCGGCCGGTGTCTCAAGAACCAACCCCGGATAGTATGATGCTCAACAAAGCAGAAACTCTTTGGTAGAGAGGTATATAGACTACCAACTCAGGGCCCTACTGTATACCACGGATGAGGGACTTCGTGTATGGGTTTTACGGGAATCAATTTCTCGTGATGTGGCATCTTTATTGGAGATCGCACCTGGCAACCCATACCGATAGCAGGGCACTGCAGTCGAGTATCTAATAGAGGGGTGGTATGGTTCCCCACTCCTCACCGTGAAAGCCCAGCCTTGGTGATCCTTCAGAAGTTGATGTGCATCTACCCAGGTGTCGAACAATATCGGTATGAAGGCGTGGGGAAGGGAGGATCGTTTGGGGCTCTTCCACCGTACTCGTACGGTATGATACTCACCATTGGGTTCAGCTCGGGAGTCGAAAGCCACCGGTGGCCATTCCCGTGCTCACAGCACTTGTACCGTAAAAAGCTTGGCCCATGTGGGCGCGGTACAGCAAGGCGAGCCAGCGCCGAGCTGGACTCCCGCATCGTCCAAGTCATCCCAGATTCCCGACCCGACAACAGCCTGATTGCATCCAGATCAAACCCTTATATCCTATATATATACATATAGTGTCTGTTTACGCGGGATCGCTATCATGTCTACTGCCGGGCCTTCCCAAATCAATGGTGATATCCCTTCAATTCGCGTTTTCAGCATGAATTGCTGGGGAGTAAGCACATCCACCTCCATTTTCAGGTCTAGCCCTGACATGTCTATCACTCCTCCAGCTCAAATATATCGCCAAGCACCGAAAAGCTCGACTCAATGAGATCTCTCTTCGCATAGCTCGCGCTTCGCCCCCATTCGATATTGTCGCCCTTCAAGAATTCTGGGTTTATTCCGATTACGAAAACCTACGTGCAAAGACCTCGTCTGTTCTACCCCATGGGAAATTCTACTTCTCAGGAGCCATTGGCGGTGGGTTGGTAATTCTTTCTAAATGGCCAATTGAGCAGAGCAGTATGTTCAGATACCCGCTCAATGGACGGCCGACCGCGTTTTGGAGGGGAGATTGGTATGTCGGGAAAGGCGTTGCTTGTGCTGCTGTGCGACATCCCAGCGGGAAGACCATCGAGGTTCTCAATACACATGTCAGTCCACCTTACCGGTATCCGACATATCTTAAATCTCTTGTATTTGTTCTGACGTTTCAAATGGATTAGCTACACGCACCTTACGAGAAGAACGATTCTTACTTGTGTCACCGTACTGCCCAAGCATGGGAGATTGCAAAGCTGCTCCGCGGAGCCGTCCAGAAAGGGCATATCGCGATTGGGGTGAGAGCATCTAACCACTTCCCCGCTAAGACGGAAGCAAGCTAATAAATCTAGTTGGGTGATTTCAACATGATTCCACCGTCCCTGGCTCACCGAATCATATCAACCCATGGCCTTGTCTCTGACAGCTGGTTATCCGCCAATCCAACAACCCCATCTATCGCTCCCCCAAAGACTGATGCGAAGACAAATATCGAGGTGCTCGGTGCAACTTGTGACAGCGTTCTCAATACGTGGCGCATGAACACGCCAACTCTACCACCCCCGGAGACTGAGGACCCAAAGGGGAAACGCTTAGACTACATTTTCCATGTACCGCGTTACTCCTCCGTTCAAGACATCAAAGTTGGTATGACGGAACCCATGCCAATGCCGTCACAAAGAGGTGGTAAAGGTGGTGCAGGCGGCTGCTGTACTTTGAGTGATCATTTTTCCGTAGAGCTCACGCTTTCTCTGGCACCGAGTCAACAGCAGCAAAGAGCTCTTGCCGAGGCAAGAAGTCCGGATCCCGTTTCGAATTCGACGTTGTCAAATGTGGCGGGAGCTGTCAGGGCCGAAGAAGCCCAAATTACCAATCAAGTGGGAGAGAGAGAACACGAGCAATACCTCCCGCCTACAATAATAGACGAAATCCTGGAGCTTGTCGCAAAATACGCAAAAAGGGAGAGGTTCGAATACGCTTGGAGACTATCGCATTTTTGGGGATCTCTGGTGGCGCTTGCAGGACTCCACGTAGGAGTCTGGTGGAGTCCACACAACGGGGTATCCTTTGCCTTAATGTTTGTCGCATGGGTGATCGCAGTCACCGGCGGCCTGGACGGATTGATTGGATTCCTGTTTATGGGCAGCGGTCAGTTCCCCTCCAGCCGGCCCATAATGAACTGTACCTGACCCATTCATTCATTCAGAGCTGAGAGCATTGAAGGAATTCGAGGAGGAGCTAAGAATGTACCGGCATCTTGCTGTTGAGGCCCACGGGGCTGGTAGCTCTGGGTCAGAGGTGCCAGGGTCAAAAACAGCATTAGTTACTAACGGGGCCACCGAGGGTACGTTTCATTCTTCGAACAGTGCCGATGAGGTGAGGATTGACATTTATGAATCTGTATAGAGGATGTTTGACTGGTTCATGTTTGAGTTACTTGATGGCTTACAGTTTCTTGATGCTCACTGGCACATAACGTCCTCTCGGTTTCCGGCATTATGTTTATTTATCGCGTACTCCGAGGAAACCAATGCTATATATGATACAATCGTACAGGGTGCAGGTGCGGGGGTGATCTGGTCTTGAATGCCTATGCAAATTGGTAGTCGATGTAGATCTCTCAGCAAAAGGGTATTGGCCTCCGATTCTGCGTGGACGCGTTAAGTAAGCTCTCGATGGTGTGCAGTATGTAGTCCCCGAAACCCAATGTGATACCACTGCTACAGTACCAGGTATACTCGAGCACTTCTGGTACAGTACCGGTGTGCCATGCCCGAGTGTCTAACACACTATTATATACCCGCCCGCATGTGAGTGAAAGGCACTCGTATCGAGGAGATGAAACATTTGCCGACACCGCCGGCGCAGCACCACGCTGCACAATACCACGCATTAGGTTCTATCGTGTACCCCGCCCGAATCATCTAGCTCATTGGCCCGCGCAGCGAACTGCGCCTACGCTGTACGGTATCGGATTTGGGTGACATATCGCCAATCCTAGTAATGTATCATACTAGCTAGCTAGTACTAGTACTAGTACCAGTGGGCAAATATGATCTACATGCACAGCACCGGTACGAGTACTGTACTCGAGTGCTATAGTACACACATTTAGTATTTGCCACCAGGAATTTTGGCGGGGTGAATTACCCACCTCTTGCTTGATGTGAATATGAATGTGCCTAACTCACAGTGATTTGCGGGGTTGGGACGTTGTTACTGTCATGATAACTGGTCCGATCCGATGGCAGCTTTCACAGCCGTGGAGATCACGAAAGCTCAACCGCTTCCGATTCCCGAGCTCTGGAGCAGAGGTGACAACAACGCTTCGGCAGGGGACCTCCTGTCAGAAAACGGGTTCGTGCAGCATCCGGGTAACACCAATCCGTTCCATTGGAACAAACTTATGGGGTAGGGACCCCTATCTTTTCCATCCTTCTCTGCAACACCTGACACGAGTTCCGCTTCAACTTCAACTTTCCCAGCGAAATAAAGTTTTCCTCCATTCTTCATCTTTCTTTAGCCTACTGTTTCCTAAATAAAATCTTTAAAAATCACTTGGCGCCAGGTTTTTTACTACCCAGTATTCTTGCTCTAATCGCTATAACGTCATGCACTTTTCCAGGAGGTCCACATCCCTTTTACTGCTGTTGGTTGCGCCCCCTTTGATTGCTGCTGCAAACAGTCATGTTCCAATAGAGTATCCAGAGGGGGCTGCGGTAGCAGGGACGAAGAAGGATGTCACCCCTCCACCTAATCCTAAGACACCTTACAAGATTTCGAACACCCAGTCAGGAGCCGGGACATTGAGATCGAAAGCGGAGGGCACGGCGGATGCGCCTGTTGATGGTCTTGATGGGAAGCCACACGACGGTCCGGGCCTGTACCCGGGAGCGGAGAAGGGGTCGGGAGAGGTTGGAGTTTCTGGCGGTAGGGCCAGCGTTGACATCAAGAAGCCGCCGCCACATACCGGCGAGCACGAGATCGTTGAGATCGAGGAACCGGCGGAGGGTGACGATTCGGCGGTAAGGTTCTCGCATGCGGGGTCGTGGAGATGGTTGAAATGCTGGTGAGCTGATTGGGGGTTCCGGCACAGATCAAAAACCCAAAGAGCAAAGACAAGGACGCCAAAGATGACCCGTCAGCTCCCAAGCCACCGGTGCCGAAGGCTGGCCACCAAGAATACACAGGGTCACAGGGCGATACCGTCAAGTATGGCGGGCCTCCGGTCGAGATCCCGAAACACCTGAAGCCCGCGGAATTAGAAGCTGCCGATTTATCTGGCATCTCCCAACCTTTCCATTCTTTTGCCTTGTCCTTCATTATGATTATCTTCTCGGAGATTGGTGACAAAACATTTTTGATTGCAGCTCTAATGGCAATGAAGCACCCCCGGGTGCTGGTATTTACAGCAGCTCTCAGCTCTCTGATTGTCATGTCGATTCTATCGGCAGTTTTGGGCCATGCCGTTCCTACATTAATTCCGAAACGATTTACCAACTTTCTTGCTGCTGGTCTCTTCCTTGTCTTCGGAGTGCGTATGGTATTGGAGGGTCTTAGAATGGAAAAGGGCACTGCCAACGTGCAGGAGGAGATGAAGGAGGTTGAACAGGAGCTTGAGGAGAAGGCTGCTGGGCGTGAAAGGGGGGCATCTATCTCCCGAAATCTCGAATCAGGCCTGGTCTCGTCGCCGTCCCGCGGCGGACTTGGGATTCATCGATCTACGTCGTCCCCAGCATTGTCTGACTCCGACGAAGATGACTATGAGCGCGCTAGAGGGAAGAGTGGGTCTGGGAAAGCACGAATGACATCCTTGGAAGGAATTCAAAACCTTGCCGGGCTATTGCTATCGCCCGCCTGGGTCCAAACATTTGTAATGACTTTCTTGGGGGAGTGGGGGGATCGTAGTCAGATTGCTACTATCGCCATGGCTGCTGGGCAAGATTACTGGTACGTTACTGTCGGAGCTATCTCTGGGCATGCCATTTGCACTGGTATTGCAGTGGTCGGCGGTAGAATGTTGGCAAGCCGCATCAGTGTCCGGAATGGTGAGCCATATCTCCATATCTGCTTCTTGTCGGGCAAAGCTAATACGTCTGGCAGTAACCTTGGGTGGGGCTGGTGCGTTTTTGATATTCGGTATCATATACCTGTGCGAGGCGTTTTATTTTTAGGGAGAGGGAAAGGGTGGCGACAGTCAATTGTTTAACTGTTAGAAAGCAGAGGGAAAAAATGATCACTTCTGTAAAGATTACTAGGGACCTGTTTTATTTTTTTTAATTCTGAATTGGCGTTTTTCTCTTCTCTCTTCTCCCCCTCCTTGGGCTTTTCCTCCCCTCTTTTTTTCAAGAAACAAAACAAAACTGTATCTCCCAAAAGGACCCTATTATTGCAATACCTTATCCTTTTTATTTTATTTTAAACTCGGGCTTTATTGCTCCTGCTTGAGGTTGGGGTTCTTTTCTGGGTTTTTTTTTTGGTTTCTGTATTATGTTCTTTTGTTTAGCTTGCTGTTCTAGACTTGCAGGTACCCTTTTGGCAGGGCAGGGCGGAATGGGTTTGGGGGTTCGGGGAAGACGGGCCATCATATAATGTAATTATGCAAATTGAGTATGGTATGCTGTGGTGTGAAATTGGGGTGACCGACACAAGTGATTTCTTGTGATGGATAATCCGGACTAACTTACCATAAGTTTTGCGGGAAGGTGAGGTGTCCAATTGATTGCTTACCAGCAACTAAAGACACCGGGCCCGGGTTAGTGTCGCACATAGCTGGCAGGTATAGTATAATGCGATTGATATGATAGATTGCGGAATGATGCTCATGGAGATAATCCAAACCAAACGCGCCATCAGCGTCCCTCAAATATCCACCACAGCATCCACCCCAACTCGATTCCCACCCCCTCCC